TTGGTCGGCGACTCCCCCTCTGGGTCTTCGCCTTCCGTCTTCTTATCCGTCTTCTTCTTTTTCTTCTTCTTCTTTGGCGGATCACCTGGTGGATTCGGCACCTCGACCGACGAAGCCGAAGGGGTCGCGCCCTGCTTCAGCTTAGGCATCAAGAGCCACATGACCGCCGGGGACTTAAGGACCTCGCGCAGAGGAAGATCCAGCGGCAACTCGCCGCCGGGCCCAAGGGACAGACCCCCTCGGGTCAATTCCCCAAGCCTCACATGTATCTCCCGATCCGCTTGTGCGATCTGCCCCAACGAAACGGCATGAAACCCAGGCTGAGGTTCACGCTGCAACTCATCAAACAACATGGCTATAACAAGCTCGTGGCTGGCAAACGACATGAGCTGCCCCACGGCGTAAGCAACGCCCCGCCTTCGAAGGGCCTGCATGACATCAAGCTCGTTGCACGTCGAAGCCTGGATGTCGGGTCCCTGCGTCACCTGCTTTATCACTCCACTTTTGTCAGGCTGCCAAACCTTCATAGATGCAACCTCGCGAACACTATTGATTTCTTGCGCTCGCGTCGTGCAAGCAGACCAAGGCACATAGCGGATGCGTTGATCATCCACCATTTGACACACAGTGTTGATGAGGTGATGCGAGGGCTCTAAACGACCCTGGATCTTCAGCGGCAAAATTTTCTCCTGCAGCAAGGCCAGGCGTGCATCCAGCTCCTGAGGTGGCAATCTGCGGGGCGCGTCCTGCTCTGTGAGCTCTGTCTGACGCTTCAAGTCAGCTGCAGTATGGGTGTAGGCTTCTAAGAACATCCTGCGCAGCCGGGCCGCGTCGCTTCGATCATCACCAAGGACAGGCTGGAGAACCTTATCGATCCAGGCTTTCTCGTCGTTTTGGTCCAGGACGCTAAAGGCAAAGGTCGCATAAGTCGACCATCCTAAGGATTTCAACTTCTTGACGACCTGCCCTGACAGTCCAGCCCTCTCGCATCGAGATGCAAAGAAAGCTTCACTATCGATCATAGACGCCATGGCTACCGAGCGCAAATGACACAGACTAGGTAAATGCCAAACTTGAAAAGCCTGAACCCCGACAGAACCCCACTCTCATGATGTGTGTCCTCATCGAAGTTAAATCAAGCACTTCAGACCCATCGTCACAACCTGCCAGCTGTGCCCTTCGGCCGCAACTGACCATCGTCTGAGCCCTTGCTCTTCACACGCAACATGCAGTTGTCGCAAGACTTTTCTTGCACATGACTGCGCCCATCCTGCTCTCAGAACAAGCACGGCATGACAACATGAGCATGACCGACAGAACTAGCGCTCCCTGCTCCCAGACAGCCCACAGTCCTGCAACATGCACGTGCGGAGGAACAAACAGCCTTCACTGAGTCCTACATCATGAACATGACTGACAGACCTGCGCACCTCCTGCCCTCAGAAAGTCCCGTAGGTCATAGCATCAGCACAATAAAGAACACTCGAAAGCCCCACATCACGAAAGCACTCGGTTTTCACATCCAACAGGTTGCACACTGCCGGGTGTCACATGCAGGCACAAAACTGAGTCGCTCATAATTGTGATTGGCCTGTCTCCCACATCGGAACACAGTGATCTCCCCTTCATCGGGAGGGGAATCATCCTTTGCAAGATGCACCACGCTGCTAACCTTGTGGCGGAACGCAACGCGCACATCCTCCTTCAGCGATGCAGCCACTCCCAGGCCGATGCGCGCAACCTGGGCCTCTGCTTCGTTCTGGCCATCATCCTCGGAGGTCCTTGGCAAAACGGACTCGGCCCTGCCGCGGACAAGCACCCTCACGCCTTCCTCGATGGTTCTGCACCCAGACCAACGTGCACTGCGCTCCGAATCCGGGAAGAAAAGCGAACCTTGAATGCAAAGATAAACCCCCTGAATGAAGTGGAGCACGGCACTCTGCCCGTCCCGTTCGTACTCAGCAGGATTCCTTTCCCCAACGGCCAAGTGATACCCGGCCCGGCGCTGCAAATCAGTGGGGCACGCGGCACGCGAAAGCCAGCTGAGGACCGTACACTTGAGCGAGTGCGTCGCCACATCAAGCCTGGACTCCGGGCTGCACCGGAACTGCGAGAGCTTCTCGCGGAGCCACAAAGCTCCGTTGCATGCCTCGAAAGGGACCTTAGCCCACGCCCCCCAGGCCATCGGGGCAGGCTGCAGAGGCACCTCACGGCTCGCCTGCATGCCTCGACGGCGCCTGTTCTGAAGCCAACCTTCAGCCCACAAGAGACCACTGAGGCCGGGCAGCACACCAACAACTGGCAAGAGCCGGAACTGCATGGCAGCAATCGTCTTATGGCTGTAAAGCTCTGCATCTAGAAAC